AGGGGCCCTCCCTTTAAAAGCTCTGTATTTCTGTGTTCAGGAAGTTTGGATTTTGAGATGAGAAATTCTGCCATTTTTCTTCCTTTGCCAGCAAAGTAATCTCTTTCCTCCTCCCCAAAACACTTGTCCTCATTCTTCCGATTTGGCATCGTGGACAAGTGCCAAGTTTTCAGTAATACAATTAGTCTTGTAAGCCCAATTTATAAATGTGCAATTGAGTAACAAATCTAGGCTTATGATTTTATTTTATTTTCACTAAGTTTATGCACAGTATTGGAATATGTAAGAAAACTTAAGTTTCACCACATTTATAAGTTTAATAAATTAATGTGTAAGTTTAATAAATGAGATTTGTAAGAATAACTTCAGAACTTGAAGTTTCATCAGTTAATTGAAGTACTTAAGAAAGATATTAAAAATATTTAATTCATAAATACAATTTAAAGTGTGTTGGTGACATAGTGGTGAGTATAGCTGCCTTCCATAAATACAATTTAAAATGTTTGCTTAATCTAATTACTTAAGTTTAAGAGTGTGCCCAAACATTAAAGACTCCTTAAAATTGGGTGTTAACATGTACTCTCTAATAACTGGGAACTAACCAATGGGCACACATGGACACAGAGAGATATGACAGTCACTGGAAATCAAGAAGAGAGGGGCAATGGACAGGAGGGGTAAAAACCTACCTGTGGGGGACAATGAACACTATTTGGGTGATGGGTATGCCAAAAACCCTGACTTAAGCATTATACAAGGTATCCATGTGACAAAAACATTTGTACCTCCTTAATATTTTGAAATTTTAAAATTGGGTGTTAAAATTTGCTAGGCTTAAAAATATTCATAAATTGAAAGTAAAGTATAATAAAGAATTAAGTTTTTGAATTTTTACTAATTTAGTACAGAAGTCCAATCACTCTATCCACTGCACGTCTCTTGAAACCACCCTTCAGGCTTAGGGAAAAATCTTCCTTCATTGCCATTTATTTAGGGAAATCATTTTATATTATTTCATGCCTGTCCTCTACTCTATAAATTTTCTCTCTCTGGAATTCACATGAGACAGAATGTAGAATTTCTGGATATCTTCTTCATGTGTATTAACTTTTCTTTCAGACTTTTTAAAAAAATTTTGTAGAGACAGGGTCTTGCTATTGCCCGACCTGGTCTCGAACTCCTGGTCTCAAGTGATCCTCCTGCCTCTGCCTCCCTGAAAGGCGCGGCTTTGCTGAAATAACAGGAAAATAGCTAAACCCACAGTTTTCTAATAACAGCTAAAGATCAATCATGAGCTCTCCCATCTCTTTCTCTCCCTAGGTAGCAGGCACCCTGCAGGGACGCTGTTTTCACCAACATCTGAAAGGAGCCCAACAGACAAACAGGAAATACAAATCTTTCTCCTGGCCAGGCGCGGCGGCTCATGCCTGTAATCCTAGTACTCTGGGAGGCCGAGGCAGGCGGATTGTTTGAGCTCAGGAGTTCAAGACCAGCCTGAGCAAGAGCGAGACCCCATCTCTACTAAAAATACAAAGAAATTAATCAGACAACTAAAAATATATAGAAAAAGTTAGCCGGGTATGTTGGCACATGCCTGTAGTCCCAGCTACTCAGGAGGCTGAGGCAGAAGGATCACTTGAGCCTAGGAGTGTGAGGTTGCTGTGAGCTAGGCGGGCGCCACGGCACTCACTCTAGCCTGGGCAAAAAGAGTGAGACTCTGTCATAAATAAATAAATAATCAATCAATCAATCTTTCTCCTTACATTCTCCAGCTCACAGCCTTTAGAATTCATTTCTATAGCCTCAAGGTGTTCCTGAGAAGCTCCTCAGCAGACATCCTGGGAGCAAACTCCAGGCCTTAGTTTCCTGCCCAAAATCATATCTCAAGGGGCAAAATCACATCCCCTGCAATAAGCCTGACTATATTTCAGAGATAACCAAGTCTCCAGGAACAGAGAAAACAAGACAAACAACTTGACTTCTTACAACTGCCTGCTAAGTATTCCTCAGACACTTCTGTTTCAACTGACAACAATCACTATTTTTTTCTCATTGTCCTCATAAAATCAGCAAGCCACTCGGCCTCCCTGCTGGCACCCCCTTCTATTTCTTTGGGATGCCATGCCATCTCCCTGCTTTCCCTCTCTTTCTTCTCTCACTCTTTCATTCTCTCTCCTCTAAGAAGATAAACATTTTTAACTTCTATGTATCCTAATCTCTGCATAAGAAATCTTTCTCCAGTCATGCCATGAGCACCTACTAGGCTTTCTACCCTAACACTCCCAAAGTACTAGGATTATAGGCCCAAGCAACTGCACTTGACTTTTCATAAATTTTATCTGTTGTTTATCTTTTGTCTCCTTGTATTTTGGAAGAATTCCCCACTTCTCAGTTTTATTTTCATTGTTCTCCTACTACCCAGTGACTCCTACTTCATTTTATTAATCCACATCCAAGATATTAACATAATCAATAGAGCCTTAACTAATGAGCTACTATAGTGAAGAAATGATGAGAAAGGGTATACCAATGTGATCACGGCCTAGCCTCCCATTTCAACAATGTGCTCAAGTTTGTGCAATCAGAGATTGCAGTTTTCCAAGCAAAGGAGATTGGAGATTACAGAAATCACCAAAGAGTTATTATCACAAGCACACCCATGATTGATACAGCCTAATAATCGGTCCCCACCCCTCATGTTCGTAAGTATGTGGCCACACAGCCTTTTCATACACAGGCTTTGTCTGCATTGTAAAATGTCCCTCAGTCCTTCCTCTGGTGGCATGCACTGACTTATTTAAAGGGTTTCTCCACTTTGGCTGTGAAAAAGGAAGCAAGTGGTACCCACAAAGAAACTTGGGCAAAAGTTCAAGAATCGAGACGTCAGATGTTTAGATAAGACAAAATCAAATATGAAGTAAGGAAGTAACCCCCATCCTCATTTCTTCTTTAAAAAAGGTTTCTTCTTCAATGCTAAAGGCTTTGGAAACATGTAAACACTGCAATTTCAAATAATGAAAGGGATGGGTGGTGGGGCTATTTTCCCAAGGGGGTCAGAGAAGCACATCTAGGAAAGAACCACCCTAGGAAAAGTGGCCCTACCCCACCCCACCCTTCATTATTCTCCTTCCCAGCTTTGTTTTTCTTCATATAACCTATTACCTCAAATTATAGAATTTACCTGTTGACTTTCTTACAGTGTTTCTCCTGTGGGAATGTAAATTTGACGAGGACAAACTTTGGCTTGGGTAACACCGTATTCCCAGTTTATTGCATGCTGCTTGGCACATGGTAACTTCTGAATCAACATTCATTAAATGAAACAGTCCATTGGTTCCACAGATTGATAAGCGTAGCCTGGAACTGATTTTCCTCATCCCATGTTCTAGACTTGAAAACTTTGTATATTTTTGTTATAAAATATATTTCATGGTTTCAGAAAATTTACTGAGATATAGTTCTTTATAAATGGAAATACTTACAAATTCAACTTAGTGCCTTAAGACTTCCTGGCACAGTGTAAAGAAAATACAAGACTCGCCCATTTTGGCTCAAGCTCACAATTTCCTAATTTTCGTCTCATTCCATAAAAATGGTAGTCATCAAACATAAATCCACTAACATAACTATAAAGTTACAATAACGATGCTCAAATTTATTGCTCATTTCAGGAATTCAAGGCAGTTAGCCCCAGACTGTGGACTTAGACCTGACCCAAATGGTCCTCCTCTGAGAACTCACCAGGTTGCATCTCACTTGTATAAGCAGAGACTAGAAGAATGGACACTTCTTCTCTCTCATAACAGTGTAGAATATTTGTACTTATCAATTTTCAAACTTCCAGGCTTAATCCGGTTCATGCTAATTATCTGATGCTCAGAGTCCCTGCTCAGGCCTACATACCAGGAATGCCAGTGTCAAGTAACTACAGCTGACCACTTGCTCACACCTTTGAAACCCAAAATTGCCAAAGTCATAGAATCTTGCAGGTGTAGAAAAGAGCCCTGAGAAATAGGACACACATGGGATGGGATGCCATGATGCCCTGAGGACTGTGGCATGTGGCCATTTTCATATGCCAGAAATGTTCCAAAGTTAATTGCATTATTCAAGATAAACCTTTAGGCACCCGCATCTGCTCTTTTCATATTTATGTGACAAGATCAATGTGTCTAGTTCTGGAGCCTGAAGAATCCACTCACATGACTCTTCAGTGTCACTGTGACATACATCAGCCTGGGCAGTCTTCTGGACTTGTCAGTACTTCTGGAATGCCAGGGAGCGTCCAGGATTTAGCTGTCCATGTCTCAGCTCCAGCTGCCCATGAGGCTGCCTCCTTTCCTCCATCCCTCAAAGATTCCTGCAGTCCTCCTTCCTTTTCTGTCGCAGCAGAGACTGGCCTTTCTGACTGGCATTGTACGACAATAGCTGTCCACATGCTTCCATTTCTAGATTCATATAACATGACAGGCAAAAGGGACCCATGATTCATTCAGTTCAATTCCTTTACTTTAGAGAGAAAGACATGGTGATTACTACAGACCTAAGGCTGGTTAATGGTGGAGCCAGAATTAGAAACAAGAGTTCTTAACTCTCCACTAGGTGCTGCCTAGCCCACAAACTAGGTAAGGTTCCTAAATTCTTACCCATGTACTCCATAAAAGGCTTTTACTCATTATACCCCTTTACCTGTTTTAACAGAGTGGATGGCATGGTGGCCCTGTTATGGTGTGTGATGACTTTTTACTCTTACAGGTAACACTACAACTCTCCTTTCCAGGTCTCGAATGGCTTTGCAATCACGTGTCCTGGGGATCATCCTTTTATCTTCTCTGAAAGACCACACACCTTAGGAGGACTCTGCTGGTCTCCTTTTCCCAGGGAGAACTCAGGTGCTACAGAGAGAAATATCTCACAAAAAGGATTTTCTGTGTCTGCAGCTTCTTCTGCATGATGTAAGGGTGGGGCGTAGTTAAATAACAAAAACAAAGACTAGAGGCGTCTGCACCAAGTTGCATGTATTCATTTATTTCTCATTGTAGCAATAAGACAAACAAGTGTAACTCCATGTTCAACAAGTTACAGATGGTCACAAGCCCCTAAACCTTGAGCTTATCTATAAGGCAAATAAAACAGATTTTTTTTATACTGTGGGCATGAAACTGTAGATGACCTGGAAAAAGTCCCTCTAGCCCCTGAATAGTATGTTGTGTATGATGTGCAAAATGAACTTATCACCCAACATATGTTCAGAGCTAAAAATAAAACATTTAAATTCAAATACTTCGACAAAATTGGAAATACAAACAGTACACTGAGAGACATCCTTAGCCAGCTCTCCAAACAAAAGGTCAAGAAACAAAACCATGAACAGCAATCCAAAAAAGAAAAGGTTTATCTAGAAAGACTGGATGTCCGTCCAAATCACATCTCTTCTTCTGATTCTTGTTCTCGCTCAACATTTTTTAGGAGTCCAACTTCTGAGGGGCAGAGCCTCTTAAGTTTAGACTTAACCAACCTAAGGAGAAAGAAAGGCATCCCTAGTTAGATGGTGTTTGAAATAGAAGCCCAGAGCAATATTCATCTGTGATACAAGAAACTCCAGATTATTCAGATTGTTTGGGCAAATGAGGGGGCAACTCAAAAAGGAAAATCACTTTTATTTGCCTTTGGAGCCATCTGAAATTTTTGTGGATGAAAGCAGGGTATAAGTAAACAGATGCACTGTGGCTTTTGCATACATTGCATGATTGTTTAATTAGGCATCAGAAGATAACTTTAATCATTTCTAAAACAAAATCAAGTCCAGATGAAACCAAGCTGAGTCGATCTTCTCCATCAAAGCCACACCCGGCTGTGTATTGCCAAAGTGCCCTTTCCTGTAGAGGAAGTGCATGAAGTCCTCCCCTTCCCTAGGGTTGGCAGCCCAAGTCAAGCCCCATGTCAAGTCTGGGCTAAACTTCAGCCCCCTACTAGCCTCTTCAGAAGGTGCTTTTGTACAGAGCACAGGATGTTCCACTGCATGAGATTGGCCCTGTCCATGATAAATTAAGAAGTGCAAAGAGATGACCTCCATTCTTGTGACTGTTTTCATACCTTAAAAGAATGTGTAGGTTGGAGGGAAGCAGCAATTATAATTTTTGAAATTGGAAGGTGTGAAGCTTCTTAGCAGAAGCTCAGCAAGTGCTCCACTTCTCTGATGTGAGAAAAAGAGTATGCCATAAGAACTAGGCAAAGATTTTCCTATGTATGATTATTACAAAGACATTATACTGTGATCATGTCAAGAAAACATAGTTAACTTCCAGAAATACATAGGAATCTGCAAACAAACTTGATAAACCAAATCACCAATATCACACTCCTTTTATGAAAAACTTCACTATCCCACCTGCATCTTTACCCTCATTTTCTAACATCCTTCTTCTTCTGATGAAAGACTAGTCTGTCACGATCAATATGTAATGCCTTTGCTTGTGCTCTGGATCTTACTAGAATACAAGCTTCATAAGAGCAGGGATCTCATCTTATTTACTGTTTATGACTCTTGTCGAAAATAAAACAAAGACATGGCTGCTTATTACAAATTAATTGTTAACATAGACCCTAGTGATGACTCATCCTCTTTCTCATTTCTCCTCTCTGGGTTGTATGTGCTGTTGCTTCAAGTCACCAGGCTGGCACATGTTCAGACACCTTAACCAGGCTCTATCTGCCGCCTGTAGCTACAGGTGTGTACACATGCAGAAATGGCCACCTGGGGCAGATTGACCGATGAGGTAAAAAAGAGGATGTGTGAATAATTGCCAGTTACTGGAATGGCACAAATCCAGGAAACTAGTGTCGGAGTATGCCTATGCTTTTACTCCTATATGTTCTCTTCAACTAATATGAGAAAGTGCATAACTGAGATAATAGGTGTACTTCCACGAAACTATCACATGCCTGAAATTTAGGCATCCCTATTTCGTTCTTCAAAATTATTCACATGAATTGTTGCTTGGAAAACTAACCTGCAATTGGGTAATATTTACCTACCTATAGAGAGAGGTTTTTGAAATAGTTATGTGCAACAATGGAGTTTACATGAGAGATACAGTAAAACATGCAGTAAGATTTCCAAACAGTTCTCACCTATGACCTATCATAATCAAGGCTGCAGGCATGGAATTGGATGAGGCAATCCTAAACCATCGTTCTGGAAGGTTGGGAAGTACAGCTTCACTTTTCGGAGTTCCTTAACCCAGCTGTGATTCCAGGGTGATCTCTGTGCTATGTCAAACAAATTCTGATACACTTTTGGATAAGTTGCAAACCACTCTGCAGTGAAATCCTGACCGACAGATTCTTCAAGGCTCCTTATGATTACAGGACTGGATCAGCTGGCCATGTGACCTCATCAAAAGGAAGTGCTGAATTTCCATGATATTTTTAGACTTTTGCTCAAGTTTATATTAAAATGTGTCAGAAAAATTGAACTGTTGGTCTTATGTTTCCAAGAGCAATATGAGAGCAAAACGGAAAAGCATATAAAACATGATTTCCAAACAAATGAAGCCTATATTGACGTAGGCTACATAGTTCTATTAAAATAGCAAACAAGGGTTTATTGAGAATGTACTATATATTTGGCAGTGTTCCAAAAGGTGTGGGACATATGAAAGGGTCTTTTTCTCAAGGAGACACAATCTAGCCAGCAGATAAGACTAAGACATACGAACTAATAGTAAACATCTCAAAAGAGATCACAATTGTTAAAATGTATGGTGGAGACTAAGTGCTGTAAAAGTCTTGAAGGGAGATGAGCAAGAGCTACAGGATTCACAGAAGGTTTCATAGAAATGTGTATTTAATGTTGATATGGCATGTAGAGGGAACTGCATGGTCAAAAAGATTAGAGTAACACATGAGGGTGGGGAGGATGAAAAATAAAAATGGAGCTTCCAGGATCTAGAGAACTATAAGTGGATAACAGGGTCATTAGGGGTCAGAAGGTTTTTGAAACAGGAAGAGACAGTAGTCTTCTTTGGGCCTTGGAGGGGAGCTGACATGAAGGAGAGCATTTCCTTGAATGCTGGCACTGTTCTCAGAGGCTGTGCAACCCCTAAGGAGAAGATGCTGAGATGTCAACCTAGAATAACAGGGAAAGAAGCCAAGTTTCACACAATGGCAGAGCCAGCCTTGATAATGAGCTCATGCGCATGCTTTCAGGGAATGGAGTAGGACTGATAGAAATCAGTCAGTAAGAAGGTAGAATGTCCTAGAACCCAAAGCACTTGGACCTCTACAAGAAAGCAACTACAAATCAAAGTGGGCTGACCCGAAGCCAAACAGACAAGGAAGCAGTTTCTTCAGTCAGAGCCTCAGCACCAGAGTTGCTTTAGAGGTAAGCACAAAGAAGCACAGGCAGGAGGGGTGACCTAGGGCCCATGTCTAGAGAGAAGAGTGTAAAGTTGGTGGCCACAGAGGCTGAGACCCCACTGGGCCTAGAAGCAGCTATTGCATTTCAGGAATCTAAGGAACCTGCTGGTGGGTAGTAACCAATATGGTAGCCGGTATTCATGTATGGATATTTAAATTCATTAAAATTAATGTAGCACCAGCCACATTAATTGCTCA